GAAGTGCAACAGACCCATCCTCCCACCGAAAGAAAAGCCCAATGGAGCGGACACTGCAGTGTGCGGACCACCCTGCAGAGACTCCCTCAGAGAACGAAAGCTCCTGAATGTCTTTCAGAAGGGGTCGGCGGATTGGCTGTGAAGCCAACAGGCACAGAAGAGCCACTTGCTCTGCAAGCATCCAATGACGCAATTGAGAACGCAATATTGCAAGGTACATCAACCACCCTGTTTTCTTCTCCGTCTGTGCGGGTACGACAGTCCTGCCATCATCCTTCGCCCTCACAAAGTATTCCACAAGGTCCTTTGAGCCAGAGACCACCACACGGCGATATGCCACCGGATGAGTAATTTCCATCTCGTACAAAATAAAAAGCTTTCCACGTCGAGGATGGCAATGAAAACGAGCATATAGATGAGCAACATGAGGGTTCTCTGTGCTGTGATTCATCACAACACTCCACCCCTCATTGATTCGGGCCTCCGCCACACAACGAAGTACACAAGTAACATCACTTACACGCAACAAAGTAAAATCTTCAAGAACATTGTCAGAGTTGTACAGGACACAACAATCACCAGCCCGGTCAGCAGCTGTTGTGGGCATATTCTGCGAAACATGATCCACGCTTACAGGAAATTTGTTGTCCAGTTGCACAAATAATTGTTGGGCCAAGCAACGTGGGCCCCCAAAACGACGACACCAGTCGATATTAAGCCTTGGAGCCGCCAGTGAGAGCCATTCATTGAAATAAACACCAAAGCCACCAACGGCCGACAAGAACTGCGACAAGGCATTCGTACTTGAATCAAAGAACAGATTCGTCTCGTTCAGAAATAAGAGAGAAAGAATAATGTTTTTCCTTCTCACAGAGCTTTCCAGCAATGAAACACTATCATGCGATCCGCCCTTATCGGCATTACCAATAACTACAAGACTCGTGCAATGCGCAGAGCGCTCTGGAATCAAACGAATAAGATGCTCCATGGTGGCAAACAGACTCTTCTCAGGCCAAGCACCAACCAGTCGCGAACAGCATGCCTCTTCATGGTCTCTCAATATTTTTTCCAATCGAGGCAAAAGGCTTTCGTCGCTCAGCACCAACCCCGCGTCACAGCGCGTCATCAAGGGAACCAAGTGAGGATGACAGTGTGCATCACCGGGGAATTCGCCCTCAAATGCAGGAAACGGCAACGCACCCGCCGGAAACAGGTGCGCATGATGTCCCTCCACGTCAGCCGCGCAGCCTGTCCCCGATGAGGAGAAATTTGAAGAAACGGACGTCAACGCACTCCCCTCCGCCCCGGGCAAATTAATCAGGACGATGGAAATATCAATTCGGGGGTTCCACACTTGCCGAAGGATGTTGTGACGCTCTGACTCCTCCACGTGCATGTCGACCCAATGCTTTATTTCATTTTTTTCCTTTTCACGTGTTTGCATTGTTTTTTTAACTACATCCAACACAGATTGGATGGCAAACGGCACCTTGTCAACCAGCACCGTTCCATTCCTTGAAACACCGACGATCGAAACCCCAAAATCAATGGCTATCAACAAATGGTACCGTTGGTACAAGACTTCCACCGGCCAACGCCACACACTTGTTCCGGAGTAGATGTTGTCCCATGGCTCGTTTTCGTGACTCTCGGCGTCCTCTACGGGGGCGCCGTGAGTTCTTTCCAAAAATATGGGCATGGACGACGCCTCGGGAGAGTTTTGCAATAAGCCTGCAAACTGCTCGTTGAAGGTTGTCAGTGTGTTGGGCGTCAGGGGCAACGCAATCACACGTCGCAGCTCCTCAAGAGATCGGAGAAGATAGCAATCATCATTCAATTGAGATGGTTTTCGCAAACCCCTGGCGCTTTTTTGTCCGATGGGGTGTTTCAGTGCATATGAAACCTTGTCTGTGGGACGGAATGACTCTGCGCTCTCAAAAGTAAGTATGGATTCACTGGAGAAGAATCCATGACCAGACCGAAACTAAATGAGAAAAGTAGAAGAAAATAAAAACAAG